AAGGGAGGAAGGAAAGAGGAGGAAGGAAGAGGGGAAGATGTAGGAAGAAAGGAAAGGAAAGAAGGAAAGAGAAGAAAGAAAGAGAGACAGCAGAAGATGAAGAAAAAGGAAGGAAGGAAGAAGGAAGGAAAGAAAGGAAGGAAGGAAAGAAGGAAGGAAGGAAGGAAGGAAGGAAAAAAGGAAGGAAGGAAGGAAGGAAGGAAGGAAGGAGGAAGGAAGGAGGGAAAGAAGGAGAGAAAGAGGGAAGATTGACCACAGCAACACGTGGTGGGTAAAGGTTGTTATTTCTATTATTATTATTATGCTATTGTTCCTATGAGACCCTTTTAGGGGGAATGGGAGAGGTGTCAGGTCCCAGAGGCAATGCATTGCATTATTGTTATTGTTATGATGGTGGTGAAATAAAAAGAAATAAAAAGTGAAAGAAGGAAGCAAACAGGGAGGGAAGAAAGGCAAAGGAAGAAAGGGGGAGGGAATGAAGGAAAGAGAGAAGGATGAAACCAAGTAGTGAAAGAAGGAAAGAAAGAAAGAGGTAGAGAAGGAAGAAAGGAGAGAAAGGGGGAGGAAAAGGGGGAAGGAATAGGTAGGGACCTCTCTTTCATAATAGTCCAGATATCTACCTCAACTTTGATAAGTTTTACTGTAGGCCACAGCAACGCGTGGCAGGGCACAGCTAGTTATTTATATATTTCCTTCATTTCCACCCTGCCCTTCTCCCACAAGGGTGCTGTCAAAATATACATTTGATTAAAAACAATTAAGCTCAATTAAAACATTATAAAAGTCATCAATAAAATCATTTTACATTCAATTACCATGCTGCTAAAATCAAGATCCAGCCAGATAAATGCAATATCGTAATGTTGTAATGTTTTATTATTACTCCCAATTTGGCTTATAGTAGTAGATTAAAACAATACAATTAACTTTAAAATACAATAAAAACAAGAACAGACATAGTCCCAAGTTATTCACCCATCGAAAGCTTGTCGGAAGAGAAAGGTTTTACAGGCTTTCCGAAAAGCAAGTAGGTCTCAGATAGTTCGGGTTTCAACTGGCAAGGCATTCCATAAATAAGGGGCCACGATCGAGAAGGCTCTCTGCCTAGTAGAGGACAGATGATAAGTCCAGAGGTTGGGGACTTCAAGCAAATTTTGGTCTTCGGACCGAAGTAATCTCTGGGGTTGGTAGGGGGATAAGCGGGCCCTCAGGTACGCCGGCCCAGACCATATAAGGCCTTAAAGGTTAGTACCAGCACCTTGAAAGTAATCCGGTACTCAATCGGAAGCCAGTGCAGCTGTTGTAGAATTGGGGTGATACGACACCTCGCCGGCACCCCGGCGAGAAGACGAGCCACCGCATTTTGCACCAGCTTCAGTTTCCGGATCACTGACAAAGGAAGGCCAATGTAGAGGACGTTACAGTAGTCAAGCCTCGAGATGACTGTTGCCTGGATCACCGTAGCCAGGTCATTCCTAGATAGGTAGGGAGCCAGTTGCCTAGCCTGATGTAGATGGAAAAACGCAGATCTGCTCACAGCAGAGACCTGGGCCTCCATTGTGAGCAGAGGGTCCAATAAGACACCAAGGCTTTTTACAGAAGGTGACGGACATAGTGTCTCGCCATCCAGGGTAGGCAGCTGGATCTCCCTCCCACCCGGACGGCCCAGCCAAAGGATCTCCGTCTTTGCTGGGTTCACCCTCAACCTGCTGGCACGCAACCATCCAGTAACGGCCTCAAGGCACTGATGGAAATTTTCGGGTACAGAGTCCAGCCGGCCCTCCATTCACAGAATGAGCTGAGTGTCATCAGGCTGCCATTGTCCTCTAATCAATGCCTCTAGTCAAACGCCTGGTCCCATAGCCAGGTCTTAAGTTGTTTCTCCTGAAGGACAGGAGGGAAGTGGCTAGCCTGATGTCCTTAGGGAGGGAGTTCCACAGATGGGGGGCCACTGCCGAGAAGGCCCTTTTTCTCGTCCCCACCAACCGTGTTTGCGAGAGTGGCGGGATCGAGAGGAGGGCCTCCCCTGACGATCTTAAACTGCGTGATGGTTCATAGCAGGAGGTACGTTTGGACAGGTAAACTGGGCCAGAACCGTTCATATAATGCTTTGGGAGCATTATTGGACCTCAATCTGATTCCAATTCAGGGTTCTCTCCAGCAGGTATTTGGTAGTCTGTGAGTGTGTCTCATCCATACTTCAAAAGGATCTGAGGAGGACACCTTATCCCATATTAGCAGAATTAGGCACACAATCCACTCCCATTGAAACATTGGGTTTTTAGTATTGGAGATGAATCCCTCCTTTCTCTCCCACCGCAATGGAACTATTCAGCAGTGATTTACTTCTCTTTTGCAGAGGGGCATGGAGGCCTTATTGTGAGAGGGAGTAGAGCATATTGTCTTCTTTTGCCAGCATAGTCCTAAGCACCTCAATCTGGTTCCAATTCAGGGTTCTCTCCAGCAGGTATTTGGTAGTCTGTGTGTCTCATCCATGCTTCAAAAGGAACCATAGCTCAAAAATGTCCAGTATCATAGTTGCTTGAGTACAGTGAGAGCATGAAATATGAGATTAAAATTAAGATAATAAGAATGAAAAAAAGACAAATCTGGCTTGGTTAGAAGATGAAATACATTCTTGACTACGCACACTCAAGTCCTATTACATAGAATGACAGAGTAAAATGGCGCCCTTATATATAAAATGGTTTATTTCCTGGATTAAAAAAAATAAGCGGTGGATGGTTGAATCTACGGATGCTGAATCCGTGGATATGGAGGACTGACTTTTCCTTCATTCATTTTGTAGGAGCTGACCTCTCCTCGCCTCATCAAAAGCCATCTTCCATATCGTTTTTTGCCTTCAGACCTACACAGTGGAGATTCAAAGGTAACAGCTAAAAGAGTTTTGCATTGTTTGTATATTTTGTAATTTGGGGTTGGGGTGGGTATGTAAGCAAAATTGTTCAGAAATATAAATCATTTCCATGTTCTCAGGTAATATACATGGCTCGCAATCCTAAGGACCTGGTAGTGTCTTATTACCAGTTTCATCGCTCTCTACGCACTATGAGCTACAGAGGAACGTTCCAAGAGTTTTGCCGGAGATTTATGAATGATAAGTGTAAGAAACTTTTAATTCTATCAGTAACAGCAACAGTGCTTAATATTTTGATTCTGCTTTACATCATTTAATTGCAGTGTAGTATAATTTTGTGTTGCTAGACAAATTGTTAAAGCTCTATTTCAAATGTATATCTGTTGTTCGGAGCTTGGAAAATTTTATTTTTTAAAAAACTACACTTCTCAGACCTCCCAAAGAACATGGCAGCTATCCATGCTGTTTAGAAGATCCTGGGAATTATAATCCCAAAAGATGCCACTCTGGTGCTAGCATTTACCTGTCCTTCATGGAGGAGCAGGAAGAATGTATTGTCGAAGGCTTTCATGGCCGGAATCACTGGGTTGTTGTAGATTTTTTCGGGCTATATGGCCATGTCTAGAGGCATTCTCTCCTGACGTTTCGCCTGCATCTATGGCAAGCATCCTCAGAGGTAGTGAGGTCTGTTGGAACTAGGAAAAAGGGTTTATATATCTGTGGAATGACCAGGGTGAGACAAAGGACTCTTGTCTGCTGTAGCTAGGTGTGAATGTTTCAACTGACCACCTTGATTAGCATACAATGGGTTGACTGTGCCTGGAGCAAACTTTTGTTGAGAGGTAATTAGATGTCCCTGCCTGCTTCCTCTCTGTTGTTGTGCTGTTGCAATTTTAGAGTTTTTAAATACTGGTAGCCAGATTTTGTTCATTTTCATGGTTTCTTCCTTTCTGTTGAAACTGTCCACTTGCTTGTGAATTTCAATGACTTCTCTGTGTAGTCTGACATGGTGGTTGTGAGAGTGGTCCAGCATTTCTGTGTTCTCAAATAAAATGCTGTGTCCAGGTTGGTTCATCAGGTGCTCTGCTATGGCTGAGAATGTTCTGTGTGGAAGTCGATATATGTGGGTGTCTGAATTGTGTGATGTTTTTCCTTCCAGAAAAGCAAGGAAAGAAAACACAAATAGATTGATTGCTCTATGCATTTGGGTTTTGTGTGTGTGTCAGGAGTGACTTGAGAAATTGCAAGTCTCTACTGGTATGAAAAACTTGGCTGTCTGCAAGAACGTTGCCCAGGGAACACTTGGATGTTTTACCATCCTGTGGGAGGCTTCTCTCATGTCCCTGCATAGGAAGCAGGAGCTGACAGATGGGAGCTCACCCTGGTCCCTGGATTCGATCACTGGCCTTTTGGTCAGCAGTCCTGCCAGCAAAGGGTTTATTGCTTTTATATGGTTTATATTATATGTCATGTTTTTAACTGTATTTATGTTGTTTGAGGGCATTGACTGCCGACTGTAAACCGCCTCAAGTTGCCTCCGGGTTGAGAGGGGCGGTATATAAATATGGTAAATAAATAAATATACCCATTGTGTCACTGGGGGTTCCTATGCATTTGGTAGAAGGGTTGTATTTTCTTGTACTTTGTTTTGTATTTTTAGGATTGTACTTTTTTTGTGGTTAGGGGAGTAGGTCCACTGCAAAACTGAGGTGGGCGGGGGGGAGGAAATTACAAATTAAAGAAAACATTTTGTTTACTTGAAATAGCATTTCTTTAGGAATCTTTATTTCCTCCAATGCAACTCTGTGGTCAACATCTGTTAGAAACAGGCCAAAGAATCACACTGGAAGGACCTACAAATGCCTAGAGAACTATTCTCTCTAACTTCAGTGCATTTTTATGGTGGAAAGAGAACCTAGAGATTTCTAAAGAGAACAAATACACAAATAACACTATGTAACAATTTTTAAATGTTCTGTTTCTGGTTTGGAAGTGTTATTTCCTGTTTAATTGTGTGATACTTACTTTGAAAGTAATTGTTATAATCCAGAAACTTTGTTTCTGTGGCTGCCACAAACTATGTTGAATTGGTTGAGACTCGATGAGATATTCATTGAAAAATTAGAGCAAAATGTTTTAGTGGTTTAATGATCTTTTTGCATGTTTTTATGATAAAACCGATTAGAAAATGACATTTATAACCCAGGAACAAAAATCATGTTACATAGTGTAACCAAATCCACAAAAGCGAAACTCACAGACATAGAAGGCTGACTGTAAATGTTTCTTGAGTTTTTGTTAGGAATAAATGCATCATATCTAGTATTTCAGGCAATCAAATTAAATATCCTTACTTTGTATAAATTTTCATGTTCTATAGATGTGAGGACAACAGTTATTGTTTAATGTATTGTTGAAGGCTTTTGTCGAAGTTATTGTTTATCCTGTGTGTTGGACATTGTGCTTCTTATCTTCACAGTAGGATATGGTTCGTGGTTTGAGCATGTGCAAGAATTTTGGCAACATCACATGGACTCGAATGTACTCTTTCTCAAATATGAAGATATGCACAAGGTAATGGCAAAAAAAACCCATTGTCCCTGTCTGACCATGGAGCTTTTACTCTGAGTTTCAAACCACAAAAGGTTGCTTCCGGGTTTTAAAAAAAGGGTCCGTTTCAAACACAAAATGTCTAGGGATGGGGGCAAAGGATGTTCAAAATACTCCCTACACCTCCTAAAGGGCACTTTGTGGCAACATTTCTTAGATGATGTGGTTCTCCAAGTTTTCCCAGGGAGGGGGAGCAGTGGGTTGCCTAACCTTCAACAATTTGGAATGTGTCCAGAGGAGAGCGACTAAAATGATAAAAGGTCTGGAGAACAAGCCCTATGAGGAGCGGCTTAAGGAGCTGGGCATGTTTAGCCTGAAGAAGAGAAGGCTGAGAGGGGATATGATAGCCATGTATAAATATGTGAGAGGAAGCCACAGGGAGGAGGGAGCAAGCTTGTTTTCTGCTTCCCTGGAGACTAGGAACAATGGCTTCAAACTACAGGAAGGAGATTCCATCTGAACATGAGGAAGAACTTTCTGACTGTGAGAGCCGTTCAGCAGTGGAACTCTCTGCCCCGGAGTGTGGTGGAGGCTCCTTCTTTGGAAGCTTTTAAACAGAGGCTGGATGGCCATCTGTCAGGGGTGATTTGAATGCAATATTCCTGCTTCTTGGCAGGATGGGGTTGGACTGGATGGCCCATGAGGTCTCTTCCAACTCTTTGATTCTATGATTCTAATTTCCCACCTGTGCTGAATAATATTGGCGCTAGCAGTGTCACTTGAAACATGTGTGGTTACTTGAAGTTGTATATTTCTATTTCTAACTTTCTTTCTACCTGTCTCTCTATATGCACAGGACCTAGCAACTATGGTTGAACAGTTGGCAAGGTTCTTGGGCATCTCTTGTGACAAAGCACAACTGGAAGCCATGGTGGAACATTGCCACCAGCTCATTGACCAATGCTGCAATGCAGAAGCTCTTCCTGTTGGCAGGGGTATGTATGTCTGATGTGTATTAGTGAAAACAGAAAGGAGAGATGGACCAAGCTGAGCAGATCTTATAAGCAGTCAACCATTGTTGGTTTGTTGTAGGTTTTTTTGGGCTATATGGCCATGTTCTAGAGGCATTTCTCCTGATGTTTCGCCTGCATCTATGGCAAGCATCCTCAGAGGTAGTGAGGTCTGTTGGAACTAGGAAAAAGGGTTTATATATCTGTGGAATGACCAGGGTGAGACAAAGGACTCTTGTCTGCTGGAGCTAAGTGTGAATGTTTCAACTGACCACCTTGATTAGCATTTGATTGCCTGGCAGTGCCTGGAGCAATCTTTTGTTGAGAGGTGATTAGATGTCCTTGTTTGTTTCCTCTCTGTTGTTGTGCTGTTCTAATTTTAGAGTTTTTTAATACTGGTAGCCAGACTTTGTTCCACATCAGAAGAGCTGCAAGACCAAGAACAAGCCATGAGAGTAAAGACAGAGATCCACCCAGAGGAAAAATGTTCTTGCCATACATCAAGGGAACCACTGACCGCACAGGGAAGTTGATGAGGAAACACAACATACAAACTATCTACAGACCCACCAAGAAAATCCAACAAATGCTACGTTCAGCAAAGGACAAGAGGGATCCTCTCGCTTCTGCAGGAGTCTACCGTACCATGCAGCTGTGGACAAGTCTACATAGGGATTAGCATTTGATGGCCTGGCAGTGCCTTGGACAATCTTTTGTTGAGAGGTGATTAGATTACCAGAGAAGTCAGCCATAGCAGAGCACCTGATGAACCAACCTGAACACAGCATTTTATTTGAGAACACAGAAATGCTGGACCACTCTCACAACCACCATGTCAGACTACACAGAGAAGCCATTGAAATCCATAAGCATGTGGACAATTTCAACAGAAAGGAGGAAACCATGAAAATGAACAAAATCTGGCTACCAGTATTAAAAAAACTCTAAAATTAGAACAGCACAACAGCAGAGAGGAAACAAACAAGGACATCTAATCACCTCTCAACAAAAGATTGCTCCAGGCACTGCCAGGCAATCAAATGCTAATCAAGGTGGTCAGTTGAAACATTCACACCTAGCTCCAGCAGACAAGAGTCCTTTGTCTCACCCTGGTCATTCCACAGATATATAAACCCTTTTTCCTAGTTCCAACAGACCTCACTACCTCTGAGGATGCTTGCCATAGATGCAGGAGAAACATCAGGAGAAATGCCTCTAGAACATGGCCATATAGCCCAAAAAAACCTACAACAAACCAGTGATTCTAGCCATGAAAGCCTTCAACAACCATTGTTGGATTTCCGGATAAATAATGGACATGCTACAGCCATCTCTGCTTACCACGAAGGCAGATGGCTACTCTAGAAATTAAGAAGTACATGGGCAATCTTGTTGAAATGTGTCTGAATGCATATAGGAAAGTGACTGCATATTTAAATGTTAAGTATAAATTAGCAATCCTCCTCTGCCTTTGAAAATTACCACTTTGAAATAGTTCTGTTACATATTTCTTGTATTTTTAAAAGAAAACAAATTAGGATTTTGAATTTAAACATGCAACACGTCATCAGAAGAGCAGCGATCTTTGAATGTTCTGGAGAAATGAGTAACAGTCCTATGCCAGGAAAAGGGCAGGATGCTAAATAATTAAAATAGATTGAGTCAGATTAGTCCAATTTTTATAAAAGCTTTTGAAGAAGTAGGAGATTGATACTTTAGTGCAGTGGTTTTCAAATGGTGCTTTGTAGAGCACTTCAGACTTAGGGCTCTTCAAAACAAACTGAGGGGCTGGGGCTTCCCTCCTCCCCCTTCCTCTTGCTTCAAGACCACATGGAGGCAGGGAAAGAGGTAGCAATCAGTTGGTTGCTCCCCCTTCGCCCATTGCTTCCCTTCAGTACATCTGATGGTAGGAAGCTCTTTCCTGAGAGGAGGAAATTGGTGGGGGGGGGGGGGGGGGAGGAGTGGCTAGAAGATATGCATGTGTGCCAAGCATGGAATTGGATTCTAACACTACCCAAGTGCACAGTTCCCGCCTCCTTTCCCTACTTGCACTCTTCACTTTCCTCAGCCGGCGCATGCGCAGGCTCACACACTCTGCGGTGCTCCAACAGACATTGGGGCAGGCAGGCTGAGAGGACATGGCAAGGTGCCATACAACCTCTCCGCCTCATGCCTTTCTCACCTTCTCCACACCCAGGAGAAGTCTGCGGGGCTCCAGGGGTGTAGGCTGGAGGTTGGTGAAGGAAGGATGGCCGGAGGCAGGTTGTTTGGTTGGTGGCCCCTTTCCTTCTCCCTTCTCGTTCCATCTCAGTTGTCATCTATGCCTTTACCTGAGAGGCGCTGCCACTCTTTGTATGAAAGGAAAACGGCCCCAAAACCTCACCCATCCCTCCCTTTCCTTCAGTGGCGGAGTAAGTGAGCATGACAATGTGATCCTGGCAGTGGCAACTCCTGCCCACGCTCCTCCAACCACTGCCACCATGAATCTTTTTTTTAAAGAAAATCCTTTATTTATAATGTAATATATAATACACTATATAAACATTTCTAAATTATAGTAACCCAACTGGTTAATCAGGTGCAATAAATCATGGCCGACTGAAAGGTGGCATATTCGAAGCCTGAGTTGGGGTTGAGCGCCCGACTATTAATAGCTGTTAAAAAAAAGAAATGCCCAGCTCACTGTCGACCTAAGCAGTTCAAAAACAGCTGTGAGCTGTGAGTAGAAAAGTTAGGGACTGCTTAAATTTAAATTTAATTTATGACACCATAAAAATGCCAGCGAGCAAGGAGGAAATACTACGATCAAGAAACTCGGTGTCATAATGGAAAGCGACAGCTCCCCCTGTGGCCAAATCAAGCAACCTCCTGGATCCAGTGGAAGAACTGCTGAATGGGTTGTTGTAGGTTTTTTCAGGCTATATGGCCATGTTCTAGAGGCATTCTCTCCTGACATTTCACCTGCATCTATGGCAAGCATCCTCAGAGGATTTCACCATAGATGCAGGCAAAACGTCAGGAGAGAATGCCTCTAGAACATGGCCATATAGCCCGAAAAAACCTACAGCAACCCAGTGATTCCAGCCATGAAAGCCTTCAACAATAAACTGCTAAATGGACTCTGTTTGTCTGTATGTCTTATATGTCAAAAACAGCATTGAATGTTTGCAGTGTATATGTGTATTGCGATCCGCCCTGAGCCCCCTTTGGGGTGAGAAGGGCGGAATATAAATACTGTAAATAAATAATATAATATAATATAATATAATATAATATAATAATATAATATATTATAATATAATATAATATAATATATAAACATCTCTTGGGGTTCCATGAGAAACTTCAAAAAGGGCTCCATAGCTGTAAAAGTTTAAGAACCCCTGCTTTAGTGTAATGGAGATAGGGGACAACAAGCATGTTACCTTTAGGTTTCATGGGCTGAAGTCCACCAGCAATGCCTTTTCAGAATGAGGAAGATAATGTCACAGAAGATGAAATCAAATGCAACTTGTTCTAGGTCTCACCTTCATCGTCTGTCTGTGGTCTTTGCTTGGTTTTTACTTCCTTCTGTTGCTCTTTGTGTTCTGCTTGGATGCTTGAAGCTACCCTACCATTTATTTGGGTCACTCTTTACCAACTTGAAACTGTCCTACCTATGAAAAGACCCTTTTGTGGCCGAGAAATTTCCCCCCAAACTATGTGATAAAATGTGTTGCACTTTTTCACTGCCTGCTTTTTCTATCCACAAGGTTTCTTTCTTTTTCTTTCTACTGTTGTACTTATTGTCAGTTGTGATCATTCATTTATTTATTTTCCTTCCAAAATGCAATCTGATTTTTTTAATTTAACATTTTGATTTAAAATTATTTTGCAGACATAATTTTAATTTATAATCGGTTACATTTTCCATATTTATTTTTGTTTCACATTGGTTTTCTTTAATTTTCCTCCTTTTAGTTCATTGATGTTTATGCCGAAGATAATGTCCAGTTGCTGCGAAAGCAGGCCTTTGGTTAACTCATGTTCCATACTTTTGCTCCGTGTCTTATCACAAAACAGTTTGATTAATCAAACTGTGAACCCAGGTGGGTGACTCTCTGCCTAGCTGTCCATGAATATGGCTAGGAAATAACTGCTAGCAAGACAATCTCATATAATTATTTGTGGCAAGTCTATCACTTCTCTAATGTGTTCTTGGAAAAATATGTCGTCTCTTGTTGTTAGGAGTGGTTTTGCTTTTAGTCTCCCAAGCTCAAGAGCAGACAAACAGAAATGTACTGCCTCCTTGATTCTGGTCACTCTTTCCAAGTTCTCACATATCCTGAGAAATGGACTGAATGTGAATTCGAGTCCTATCTTGAGACCTGCCATCCTAATCTCAGTTGTTGTTGCAATCTATATAAATAAAAATGTAATGTTCGTTTGTGGGTTTAACAGAACTCAAAAATCACTGGACAAATTGACACCAAATTTGGACACAAGACACCTAACAACCCAATGTATGTCCTTCACTCAAAAAAATTGATTTTGTCATTTGGAAGTTGTAGTTGTTGGGATTTATAGTTCACATACAATCAAAGAGCATTCTGAACCCCACCAACAATGGAATTGAACCAAACTTGGCATACAGTTCTCCCATGACCAACAGAAAATACTGGAAGGGTTTGGTGGGCATGGACCTTCAGTTTGGGAGTTGTAGTTCACCTATATCCACAGAGCACTGTGGGCTCAAACAATGATGGACCTGGATCAAACTCTACACGAATACTCAATATGCCCAAATGTGAACACTGGTGGAGTTTGAGGAAAAATAGAATCTTGACATTTGGGAGTTGTCGTTGCTGGGATTTATAGTTCACCTACAATCACAGAGCATTCAGAACCCCACCAACGATAGAATTGGGCCAAACCTCCCACACAAAACCCCCATGTGGGCCACAACAACACGTGGCAGGGGACGGCTAGTAGCCTATAAAATAATACCACATTGATGTCTCCATGGTGCAGGCAAGGGAACCTAAGGCAGCAATAGCTTACCTTTCAGATCTGAATTGAGATTTTTTAAAAGGCTTCTTAGGCAAAAGGCTATGCTAAGTCAACCTCAGTGAAAATATGGTTCATACTTTGGTTCATAATGTGCCTCAAAGGGATTAGTAGACAGAATTAGAAACAATAGACTTTATTCTATAATTTATTTATGCAAAGGGCACAAAGCCTTTCCTGTGTATATTGAAGTGCTTGAGGGCAGACAGCTAGAGTTATGAGTTTTATATCTAGCAATAGTTATACAACACAGCGATTTTTCTAAATCTAAATGTGTTTCTTCTCATATATTTGTACAGACAAAGAAAGAGAGCATATGGTATATGCAGACAGAGACTGGTCTAGTCCCTTGTGTATCCTATTAAGCTCCAAGTAAACATATTTTCTGTGTGGGCCATAACTTAGAGGCTGAAATACTTGCCTCTGTTTTCAGTTGTTGGTGGCATGTGGTTGATTTGTGGCCTGAATTGTGGTTCCATATTTTCTCCCATTCAGTAGAGCGATACCACTGCACTTGGAACCAGCACTGCAATAGAAAAAAAGTCACCCAATGACCACTCTGAAATTGGGTAGCTTAGCTTACAATGCTTATGGTCCCATCAGTAGTATATGATGTGTCTCTTGCAGACTAGGGGTCTGCAAACTAAGGCCCGAGGGCTGGATACGACCCACCAAGGTCATTTATTTATTTTATTTATTTATTTACGGCGCTTATATGCCGCCCTTCTCACCCCGAAGGGGACTCAGAGCGGCTTACAATATATATTTTCATACAATATATTATATAATTAGCAAAGTACAATATCAGTATATATTACTATATTGCACTATACCATTATATTGTAATATTATTAGTAATATTACATGTAATTAAATATATAATTATAATTATAATATTGAATTATTATTACTAGTATTATATTGTATTACATTATAATATTATAAATATTATATGTAAA